GTCAGCCACCTCAGCATCAGCATTTAAAGACCGGAACAAATGGCGAAATTAAACACTTGAGCAATATCGTGTTATAGCAATGTCACAGACGTTTCGCTCGCGCGGTTTAGGGATAACATTCATTAACTAGTGCTTACATAGACCTGAATTCCCGGCCTGCTTATGAAGTTTCAAATGGAGTGGCCTAAGTCGCGAAATATAACGTCCTAGTTCACTGCCATTCCCGTGATTCGACGCTATCTCGCCAGTTCCGCAAGCTGAGGTCCTGAACCTTTCCGATCTCGCCAGTTTTCACAGCTAAACGCAATCATTACGTCACGCAACGCAGGAATAATTCATAGCTGGTGGCTCATGAAATATACGGCACTGCTGAATCGTTGCAGGCGGGGGCTTATCAAATATTGCACCGCCTGCTTTGTTTTATGTATCGAGACAAACGCTTGTCAAGTCCCCACAAATGACTGTAGATGCCACGCCCTGTTGGATGTTGGGTCGGGCTGAAATCGTTTCCTTTCAAAAGTTGGGCTTGTCGAGGTAGGAGTTGAAGCATCAGTAACAACATGTGCTCCTATTCTGGCAACTGGTGCATGCCCAGCAAATAGAGCAGTAGATAAACTGCCGCGTCTTTATGAAACATACCAGTATCAGTGTATTGCATACCATCAGCAAGGTAGCTGTAGTGGTTTCAGTTCGGGGCTTCATGCTACAAATCGCGGCTGAAAGGTACGTTTCAAAAAGGCACAAGCTAAAGGCATATTATTAGAGGAAAGGGCCAATAGTCGAGGAGTTAAAACAGACCGATACATACACCACAAGCCGGACTGAATGGCCACTAGCCATGGCTCAAACCCACACCACGTATGGAGGTCTCAAACGTTCTCAACGCAGCGGTACCACGGCGCCCTGTGCCTACTTTCATGTGGTCTACATAGCGACTCATCTCCTGAAATTTCGTGGCTTGAAACGACTCCATGGGTATTGGCTCCGGAAACAGGCTATATCTACCTCGACCGGACTCGGGGTCGGCTCGAAATTGTGCCGTGTCAGGAATCGGAGTAGAAATGGATTCCGCCGGACCGGAACCGAGCACAATCATACACATCTGGTCATAATGGCCAGCCTTGCCCTGCTTCCGCCTCCATTAGGTCGCACCGCGACATTCGGTAAACTTTATGACACTTGTAGCCTTGACAGTGTCATGCATCATTGGTTTGTGTAACGGGCACGATTTTAACGTTATGTTGGGGAGAGGAGATATATGGAGTGCTGGGCTTCTTTTATGAAAACTGAGCTGTAGCCTGAAATATTTACGACATGCAGACGTTGGACCAAGAGTACTACACATTTAGCTGCAAATGGCTTAAAATGCTGCCAGTATTGTCTCAAATTGAGCGTTATTGGCGACAGCTGTGGTGAGCTGAATCAGCTATCGTCTCCCCTCATTGTTCTTTGAACGTAATGCGGTCCATTATCACGAGACATAGAGACAAAAAAGCTAAAAACAATAAACAACTCTCTCACTAAAATACAATTTTTGGTAACTGATTGAAGGAGAACATAAATTCCCATGATTTCGCAGTGATTTGTTGGCAGCTCGCTCCGCTAGAAGGCACAAATGCATTGACCGCCTTGGCGGAAGCCGGAAAGAATACCCAATTGTGGGATCATTCATTGCCGTTTAAATGCAGAGAGCAAGGGTCATGCCATTAAAGCTGACTCATGCAGCTTACCTCCAAAACTCTCCTCATAACCAAAACCAACCACTGGATGCCGTAACAGTTCCACAATGTTGGACACTTCAGGCTGGACTATATGAACATGATATGCCTCGCACAAGGGGTGGCATCTGCTGGTAATTGTAACCACTGCTGGCTGTATGAACCCAACAATGCCGGGCAGACGAGCATGTAAAGGCGCCGACAGCACGCGCCTCCGCCCGGACCACGCACCACGGAGCGGCGCTGCTTCCGCCGGCTCCAGTGAAAGTGGCCGAACCCTTTCACCGACCGCCGTCTCCGGCCAGCTGGTCAGCACAGGCCGCAGCGGCGCCGCCGCCGACACAGCTGTTACCACCCGGGCACGGAGCTCTCCGCCGCCTCCCCGGACATTGTCAATCAGGCAGCGGGCCGCACCGCGCCGAACCTAATTATTGCTAGTCAGACGATGTAAGTACGCTGCCACGGAACCACTGACAATGAAACGTGTGACCTCGGCCATCGCCAACGAGACTCAAAAGCTGCCGTTCCGGTCGCCCGACCACTATCAATGAATGGGGTGTAAAACGGACCAGCCTATGGATGGGGCTCGGGCGGCATGCATGGCACGGCGCGACATGCACGGAAAGCGTGTAGTCGTTCACCTAACCTCCGGAGGCGGATCTTTCTGCCTGACATTTTTGTATAGTCGTATGTTTTACCCCAAACAAAACTGAGTAGAAAAAATGAATAAATAGTAATGAAGTGAAGTCACTAAAATGGTCCAGACAGGCGTTTGCTCAGCAGGGCATTACACCAAGAATGCTGTGAAATCTCTCAGGAGGCGGTCAGAAACAAATAGTTGGCGCATCATCATTTGCATTCAATTACGGCAACCTCCGGATGGGGTGACGCACGATTCGTGTGTACAATGCAACCCCCAAGCATTGTGTATGGCATAGCTGGACAAAACCCTCTGGCCATGGGGTCTCGGATGCCGCTCTCAGCATGCCGGGTCCACGGCCGCTGTGACGGCGGTCGAGGCAGCTGCGGTGGGCGCCGGTCGCGGGCGCGGCGCGGCGCGGCTCCGGCTCGGCGCCGGTGGCGGTCGGCGCGCGCCTGTGATCGCACGCGGTGTGACGCGGCGTGACCCCCTCCGCGCCACCTGCTGGAGCTCGGTCACGCCGCACTGGCGGCGCGCCGGCCCCGGCGCGCGCGCCGTGTCGGCTCGGTGACGCACAGCGTGCCTGCGGTGCGCCGCCGGCCGGCCGGCCGGGCCGGCGGCGCGCGGCGCCCTTGCACCCTGCGTGACCCACCGGCAGCCTTCGGCTGCGGCGCCGGCTCTCGGGCGAACGCCAAAGCTCAGGCAGCGGTGCTCCGCACCAGTAAATGGTCTGTGACAGCGGCGTCCGGCGGGTGACGCCTGCGTGGACCGTAGGCCGGTGATGACGCCTGGCGGCCCGTTGGCGGCCGCCACCTGCGCCGCCCCCGCCGGCGGAGTGTCGAGCCGCCGGGCTCAGTGTCGCCGGCCGAGGAGACGGCCGCCAGCGTCGGCCAGGTGCCGTTAGTCGGCCGGCCCGCCCGACCGCAGCGCGAGGAGCCGGCTGAGCCGAGCGGCTCGGCGGTGCGTGCTGACGGATTGCTGATGGTCGGCGCCGCTGAGTCACGGCCGCACTGATTGCCGGCCGCTCCTGTGGTGCCGCGTGGCAGGCTCCTGGTGGGCCGTCTAACTGTCGGAGGCCCTCTGGCCCAAGGATGTCAGTTGACGCTGATACTGCGCTTGCTACGGAGGTTAATGGTCAGATGGCCTCGTTGTCGAGGTGGCAATTTTCGTAGACTTCTTCAGGAGCTATATGATTGTTGTGTAACTGTGAGCATGGTTGGCGTGCGCATATAATTTATCTGAGTCACCCACTAGAAAAGCGTATGTTGTTTGCCATTTTGGCGAGTTTGGCTTTTTCAATTTACTTAATGACATCTCGCTATTCAGGTGCTCATGATTCCAATATGAATATCATTAATTAGCCCCTCGTTGTGAAATCAGTGAAATAATGTTATGGTGAACAGAATACGCTCATCGATATTTAGGTCCTCAACTCTGTGCATTTGGGTGCCTCGTCCTTGCTGTGAAGCTGCCCCGCCCCAGTGGCACCTGGAGTCAATCCGAGTTGTTTCGGTGCGGCTGCGAGTGGTGCGACATCGGGAGGTCAGAGCCGCCCGCTTCCAGAGGCGTCGGCGGTCTGAGCTGCTCCTGTCCCTGAACTTGTTCCTGTTTCGGTCCAGGTCAGACGACCCCGGTTCGGCCCGTGGAAGCCGGTCATTTGGCTTGGCTCGTTGCGCTTGGGCTCATACCAAGCCGAGGGTGGTAATTGTGCTGCACCGCTTGGCTGGAAGCCCTTGAACATTTGTTTTGAAAGTTGTCAGCACAGCTTTAGTGGTTTAACGGCCCCCTGCTGGCCTGGTTGGTGCCACGGGTCCTGTTCCGGCACTCCCGACGGCCTCCGCTCGCGTGCGCTGCACGCACATCCAAAGTGTTGCGTGCGCTGCGTATGCGTTGGCTTGCGCTCAGTCTTTTCTTTGTTCCTGTCGGGGGTGATTTAATGCGTGCTATCAAAACCTTCCTGTGCGTGTGTTTCACTGGTCATGATGACAGGTATGACAAAGGAACCGCCAGCACGTTGACGGTAGATAACGGGTACCTTTTACCTCCTTTTTGCGTCCTAATAGGACTAGATTTTTGCCTGGGAATGGTTGCGTGAGCGTTACCGGCCGCTCACTGGCGTCTCTGCTCCCATGCCAATACCCAGCCGCGGCCGAAAACTGTATCTGGAATGTCGCCAGCGTTGTTTTGGACTGGAAGGAAATGTGCCTGTTAGCCGTGGATCAGGTTGCCCCTTGACAGCCGGCCCGCTGGTGCCGCACGTGAATGCCTTCCGTCGGTGTGCTGTTACCGTCGTGTTCAGTGGCGGGCAACGACGTAGTCCAAACGTCAAGTAACGTCACACCCCACGGCACCCGCTGTTCAGCGCCTCGTCCATCAGCGCACTGCACGGAGGAGCCCACAGAAGTCTGACGGGTCATCACTTACCCGCCATAGGATCTCGGCAGCCTCCCCCCCCCCCCCTACGCACCCCGTGACCTCAGCAGACCACCTCCATCCCATTCTGTGTCCGTAGAAACCACGATTAAATCACGTCTTGACCCCGCCAGGCCACCACCGACTCGTCCCATGACCCCGCAGACTCGCGCTAACCCACGTCGTGACTCCGACCCCCGCCTAACGGCTGTCGCGTGCCGCCGTTTCAGGCGGTTCCGGCGTGAGGTGCACGAGGAGGAGGTAGAGATGACGGCCGCCAGCCGCTGCTGGTTCTCGCTGCTGACGCTGCTGGCCGAGGTGCTGCTGTTCGGCAGCGTGGCGCTGGTCGTCGCCTGGTGCCTCAAGTACCGCGGCGGCTTCGCCTGGACCGAGGACCCCAAGCTGCAGTTCAACCTGCATCCGGTGCTCATGGTCACCGGGCTGATCTTCTTCGCCGGGCACGGTGAGCGTCACGCCTGGGTGGAGCGGCCGGCGGCGGCGGGCGGCCGGGCTCCCCCCCCCCCCCCCCGTGGATGGAGCGTGCCGCGGTGGGAGAGAGCGCGGCAGCTCGTGCCGGCGGTCGGCTGCTGGTGGGCACCGCGGCCGGCCATCACGACCCGCGCTAACTGACAGGTCTGCTTCAGATCACGAAGGGGGCCGTGTGGAAAGGATGCAGTGGTCAATGCCCGATAGACCCGGCCGTTTTTGTTAGCTTTCTCATGAGCGCAGGTGCCGGTTGGTGGCGCTTGCAATGTTGGGGGACGATATGAAACCTTCTTTCAAGAAGCATTCCCATCGGCCAGCGGAAGGTAAGTGCTTTGTGTCCTCAGCCAAATCGTAATTTCGCTGTCCTCGTTTGCAGCTATGCTGGCGTACAGGCAATGGCGGTGCTGCAACCACTCGACCATCAAGCTGGTGCACACGCTGTACCACATCATGGCCATCCCCTGTATCGCGGTCGGCATGATCGCCGTCTTCGACTTCCACAACAACAACAAGCCGACTCCGATCCCGAACCTGTACTCGCTGCACTCCTGGATGGGACTGGTCACCGTCGGTCTGTATGGCCTTCAGGTACTCCCGTCGGTAAATACCGGCTCGTGGCGCCATCTCTCGGTGTGCGCGCATACTACGTCCCATCCAAGCATTACCCCGCTCGAATGCACGGCGGCCACGACAGTTTGGGCCGCGTTCACTGCGTTTTATGTGGTGACGCTCATTTAGGGCAGAGGCATGACGTGGGCGCATGCCGCAGGGAAGCATGAGTTTGCTCACCTCCGCTAGCGCCCGCATGGCGCGACCCTGCAGTACTCACTAATAGCATGTCAGAGTGGCATTGTCTGACTATGATTCAGTCCCGTGGCCGGGCGGACACGGGCTGATGCAAGGTCAGAACAATCGAACGAAGCGCCGCTGCACAGAAGCGTGCTGAACAGGCGCGGTTTCAACCGAACGACCTACGCAGTTTTCCGATTACGGCCTTTGATGTTCCGACGAATGCCGGCGAGGCATACAATAGCCGTGAAGTGGTCAAGATTGGCTATCGCTGCGCCGCGGTACAATTTCCAGCGGTGGCTTTCGCCAGGCTTAATTCAGATGGCCGTATTAATAAGCTCCGTTCATAATTCAAGGAAAGTAGTGCCGTTCCGTTTCCAAGTTATTTCGTAATCGTCTAATTAATCACTAATGCTTCATGCCGGTGACTTCTTTGTGGCTTCTGTAATCAGGCGCGCTTGCCATGTCTGAATGGCGAGAGCCGTACGCGGTCGCTATGAACACGAAGCGCAGCACCACGTGTGTTTGAGACCTCAAGAAATGCCAGTATTTCTGAAACCTCGCGGCTCCTTTTACATCGCGCACCACGCGCCGAATACATTGAGTTCACGTGTGTGCATGGCATGGGTTTTCCGGCTCCGCTCTCATTACCTCGTGGCTGTGCCTGTGACGCTGCAGGATACCCGTGGCGACCGCAGGCGCCCCTCGTGAAATACCATCAGACGTACCTGGATCAGCTCTAGAACCTGCATGAATGACTGTCTTGGGACTAGCATAGCTTGCGTAAGCTGTGCTGCGCTGACGTAGTTGTGATAGCCCCCGTTGGCTGGAGGCGGAGGAAAGTCATGCACTGCGGTGGAGTAAAGATGAACAAAGATAGCTCAAGCCTCGTGAAATTATTGGAGTGCTCATAGTGGAACGAGTAAAACATAGGATGTATGATTCGGGCATGCCATGTTATCTGAATGGAAAAACACTCATAGACATACCCGCACGTACATTTGTATGGATACTGTCAACGTTATCATTGCTGGATCGGATGTGCATTAGCTGGCCTCCATTGTAACACGGACCGCGAGTTTATTCGGAATTACAAAACAGCACCGCAGTCCACCGGCGCGTGCGCGAGGTGCAGTGCAGCTGGCGTTCTCATTTAGTTTGCGAGATGGACGTTGACACAACAAGGCTAATTGGTAGCTTCCCTCACAGCCACTTTGCAACCATTGTTGGGAAGGTCGAAACAACAAGCGATCCCAGCTCGTCCATCTTAATCCAGGATGTACCAGCTGAACTAGCGGAATAAGCGTAACGGGCCGTGAACAGTGGCGTAACCAGAACATGGGCAAGGGTGGTCGGCCCGAGCGGCGTGCGGCCGCGAGCTCACGGTCTTCGTTCGCTGCCTCCATCCCTGAACCGCTCAGAACGACCCAGCTTGGATTCCTCTTGCCCCGGGTCGGCAAACGGGGGCATTTGCCCGTTTGCAGAGCTAGTGCGGTGCCCTCCCCCGCCACCGACCGTCAGCTGCCACAAACTGGCACAGAGTCACGTGCAGATGTTGCCGCGCCGTGATTCACCACGGCACCAGGAC